GTAGAGTGATGGAGGGTTGGTGTCCCTCCAGCAGGTAGAGTGATGGAGGGTACTGTCCCTCCAGCAGGTAGAGTGATGGACGGTTGGTGTCCCTCCAGCAGGTAGAGTGATGGAGGGTACTGTCCCTCCAGCAGGTAGGGTGATGGAGGGTTGGTGACCCTCCAGCAGGTAGAGTGATGGAGGGTTACTGACCCTCCAGCAGGTAGAGTGATGGAGGGTTGGTGTCCCTCCAGCAGGTAGAGTGATGGAGGGTTGGTGACCCTCCAGCAGGTAGAGTGATGGAGGGTTGGTGACCCTCCAGCAGGTAGAGTGATGGAGGGTTGGTGTCCCTCCAGCAGGTAGAGTGATGGAGGGTTGGTGACCCTCCAGCAGGTAGAGTGATGGAGGGTTGGTGTCCCTCCAGCAGGTAGAGTGATGGAGGGTTGGTGACCCTCCAGCAGGTAGAGTGATGGAGGGTTGGTGACCCTCCAGCAGGTAGAGTGATGGAGGGTTGGTGTCCCTCCAGCAGGTAGAGTGATGGAGGGTTGGTGACCCTCCAGCAGGTAGAGTGATGGAGGGTTACTGTCCCTCCAGCAGGTAGAGTGATGGAGGGTTACTGTCCCTCCAGCAGGTAGAGTGATGGAGGGTTGGTGTCCCTCCAGCAGGTAGAGTGATGGAGGGTTGGTGTCCCTCCAGCAGGTAGAGTGATGGAGGGTTGGTGTCCCTCCAGCAGGTAGAGTGATGGAGGGTTACTGACCCTCCAGCAGGTAGAGTGATGGAGGGTTACTGACCCTCCAGCAGGTAGAGTGATGGAGGGTTGGTGACCCTCCAGCAGGTAGAGTGATGGAGGGAAGCAGAGGGTGAACGACCGGCCGAGGCAACATTATTTAGAGTGAGGAAGGTGGTGCTGGCGAGCATGGGTGCCGCCGGCCTCCTCCTCAACCACCACTGTCATAACACCTCTATTTCTGGCCCTCACTGCTACCTTCCCCCTCCCTCCCCTCCGCTACTCCTCCATCTTGAAGGTGGAGTATGACGAGCGGACCCTCAGGCCAGGTATGCTCAGTAGGTATGCTGGGTAGATCCCATTTTTCTAGCTTGTTCAAAGGCATTTGATACCATGCCTCACGGATGACTGCTGTTTAACATGAGCACACAAGATGGGATAACTAACTTGAGAAAGCACTGAACTGGCTAAGAGAATACCTGGTGAATAGAACACTTAGGGGTCTCAGGTGTCGAGTAGGAGCAGGAGGTCGAGGAGAAATGGAACAAGTGAAACACCGTCTTGAAGAACCGGTTCCAGCGACATTGCTCTTCATGTCAGCGACCTACTGGAGGGAGTGACCTCGTATATGCCAGGACCTGAAGCTGATGCAGAACTATCGTTTGGCGTTGGAAGCCAAACATTTAATGTCTCAACAAAAGCAGTTCTTTCCTTACTGTCTTCAGCAACACTTCATGTTTGTTAATGTTTTTGTGTAAATAATATGTTTGTGTCTTCAGTGCACCATTCTGTTTACATTGTGTATATATATAAATCATGTTTGTAAGTGTTTAACTTGTTTGTTTTCATATCTTTTCTTGTCCTTATTTCGTAATTATTTTAAGTTAGATGGTAAGGGAGGAAAGGATGAGGAAGGAGAGTGATGGGAAGGTGGTAGGTGACCCCAGGAGCTGGTGCTAGGTGACCCCAGCAGCTGGTGCTAGGTGACTCAGCAGCTGGTGCTAGGTGACCCCAGCAGCTGGTGCTAGGTGACCCCAGCAGCTGGTGCTAGGTGACCCCAGCAGCTGGTGCTAGGTGACCCCAGCAGCTGGTGCTAGGTGACCCCAGCAGCTGGTGCTAGGTGACCCCAGCAGCTGGTGCTAGGTGACCCCAGCAGCTGGTGCTAGGTGACCCCAGCAGCTGGTGCTAGGTGACCCAGCAGCTGGTGCTAGGTGACCCCAGCAGCTGGTGCTAGGTGACCCCAGCAGCTGGTGCTAGGTGACCCCAGCAGCTGGTGCTAGGTGACCCCAGCAGCTGGTGCCAGGTGACCCCAGCAGCTGGTGCTAGGTGACCCCAGCAGCTGGTGCTAGGTGACCCAGCAGCTGGTGCCAGGTGACCCCAGCAGCTGGTGCTAGGTGACCCCCAGCAGCTGGTGCTAGGTGACCCAGCAGCTGGTGCTAGGTGACCCCAGCAGCTGGTGCTAGGTGACCCCAGCAGCTGGTGCTAGGTGACCCCAGCAGCTGGTGCTAGGTGACCCCCAGCAGCTGGTGCTAGGTGACCCCAGCAGCTGGTGCTAGGTGACCCCAGCAGCTGGTGCTAGGTGACCCCAGCAGCTGGTGCTAGGTGACCCAGCAGCTGGTGCTAGGTGACCCCAGCAGCTGGTGCTAGGTGACCCCAGCAGCTGGTGCTAGGTGACCCCAGCAGCTGGTGCTAGGTGACCCAGCAGCTGGTGCTAGGTGACCCCAGCAGCTGGTGCTAGGTGACTCAGCAGCTGGTGCTAGGAGAGTAATGCCACAGCTCCGGCACTAAGTCTAGGGAAAATGCAGCCGTATTTTGAAGATGCTATACTGTCTGGGGCAGGCAAGAGGATTATTTGGAATCTCTTGTTCACCTGCTCTCGTGAGGCGAGAGAGAGAGAGAGAGAGAGAGAGAGAGAGAGAGAGAGAGAGAGAGAGAGAGAGAGAGAGAGAGAGAGAGAGAGAGACAGAAGGCGAGAGAGGAGACAGAGAGAAAGAAAATGAACTTCTAGCAAACTCGTATGCACCCATCTTAGACATAATACACATTTTGTACAGAATAAAGGTCAATTTGGACAGGCAAGAATGCATACCTGAACCCAAGAGCTGAAGCTCAACACCTACAAACAGAGCTAGGTGAGTGTAAGATGAGTAAAAGCTCGCACATAGAACACTTTGTAAAGAATAGCAGGTGAAGAGAGAACTCGGGAATTGAGCTCAGTACTGGACGGACTACGATGCAACCCGTCCTCCTAATACAGCGTCGCATTTTGACGTACACGCTACTTAAGGCCAAATATCGTCGTACTAGTTAATGGAAGCGGCTCCCAAGATTGACATACTGTCCCGTTTTCTGTTTTAGGTCCTCTGGTAGGTTAGGATAAGGGGCACATTAGTACGACAGTTTCTTGACGTTGGGGCAGATAGTTGACACAGTTGCTGAATGATAAAGGAGCCAAGAAGAGCTCTCGGTCAAGGCTTGACAGGCAGCGTCAAGAGGTTACAACTTCTCCTCTCAAATACCACTTCCCATTTTCTGTTTGTGAAACCTTGTTTAGGTTAGGATTGGGCAATTTAGTGCCTAATTGTTGTGTAATTGTGACAACTGGAGAAGACGGACTGGGTAAAGAGGAGATACAAAAGAGCACGTAAGAACAAATCCACAAGGGCCGTGACGAGGATTCGAACCTGCGTCCGAGAGCATCCCAGACGCTGCCTTATTTGTTCATTTGATGCATCACGCAATTGTGATTTATGTGTGTAGTGAGCACATAAGAAATACAGAGAGTACATATAGGACAGGGAAAGAAGGAGTACATATAGGAATTAGAAGAGTGTGCGGAGAAGCTGTCTGAAAATAACATAGCAACTCAAGCCAAGGAGCAGACTAAACTTACACACCTACACCCGCAAGGAACATGAGTTGAGATATGTGTATATATATATATATATATATATATATATATATATATATATATATATATATATATATATATATATATATATATATATATATGTGTGTGTGTGTGTGTGTAAATCACGAAAATTAACACGTGATAAAGATCATTCCTTCTGAAGATGTATTAATATACGAAAGTACTTAAGGAAATTACTGTTTCAATTCTTCCTCCGTGGTCTGACACTATCATATATATATATATATATATATATATATATATATATATATATATATATATATATATATATATATATATATATATATATATATATATATATATATATATATATATATATATATATATATATATATAATATATATATATATATATATCAGCCCATTCTCTTCCGTATAGAGTACTAATAGTAACTATATGGACTATCATACATATAATAACGTATAGGACAGTTTGAAAGTAGAATTTTCTACTATTGAATTTGGACAAACCGGAAAAGGTTTTGTATTTATTGTTGGTAATGAAAGCTAACTTAACCTCCCTAGGCCTCATACACGCTATCGTAATTAAATTAATATAGTACATATATGTGCTATACAAAGCCTAGGATCATTTAAGTTTAGTTTTTAGCCTTTATTTTTTCTTGACTAGAGAGGAATTGTACTATTGTACTATCTATTTGTCCAATACGTCAATATGTGTACGGTGGGGCCAAAAGATACTTTATAAAGATTTACTTTATAAAGATAAAGATTTACAAAAGATACTACCTAGACAGGAAGATGGGTTATCTTGAGATGATTTCGGGGCTTTAGTGTCCCCGCGGCCCGGTCCTCGACCAGGCCTCCACCCCCAGGAAGCAGCCCGTATACCTATTATATTTGTATACGGGTACCGTATAATAGGTACCCAGGTACCTATTTTACTGCTAGGTAACAGGGGCATAGGGTGAAAGAAACTTTGCCCATTGTTTCTCACCGGCGCCCGGGTTCGACCCCCGGGACCACAGGATCACAAGTCCAGCGTGCTGTCCGCTCGGCCGACCGGCTCCTTCCCGGTTGCATATATGAACACAATAATATTAACGGAATTAATCAACCCATACTCCTATTTAGATTTTATGCACCATAGTACAAATATTGACGTACTAAGCAATTAGATAGTAGAATATTGTATTATTTTCTTTAGTGTCTGAACAAAATGAAGCTAAGAAACAAACTTAAATATTTCTAGCCCTAGTAGAGCACACAATATATGTAATATATGGACTATGTTAGGGCCTCAGATAGCGTGGATTATAGGCCTACGTATTAGGCCTACGAAGGTTAGGTTAGTTTGTCTTTGTAATAAAATCGTTTTCAGGTTTGTCTAAATAGTAGCGATTTAGACTTGATAATTGCGTTGTAAGTCGGTATATGTACTATGATCCTCATCCATATGTAGTATGTCCTCATATGTACTATGATCCTCATCCATATGTAGTATGTCCTCATATGTACTATGATCCTCATCCATATGTAGTATGTCCTCATATGTACTATGGTCCTCATCCATATGTAGTATGTCCTCATATGTACTATGGTCCTCACCCATATGTAGTACGTCCTCATATGTACTATGATCCTCATCCATATGTAGTATGTCCTCATATGTACTATGATCCTCATCCATATGTAGCACGTCCTCATATGTACTATGATCCTCATCCATATGTAGCACGTCCTCATATGTACTATGGTCCTCATCCATATGTAGCACGTCCTCATATGTACTATGATCCTCATCCATATGTAGCACGTCCTCATATGTACTATGGTCCTCATCCATATGTAGTACGTCCTCATATGTACTATGGTCCTCATCCATATGTAGTACGTCCTCATATGTACTATGATCCTCATCCATATGTAGCACGTCCTCATATGTACTATGATCCTCATCCATATGTAGTATGTCCTCATATGTACTATGATCCTCATCCATATGTAGTATGTCCTCATATGTACTATGATCCTCATCCATATGTAGCACGTCCTCATATGTACTATGATCCTCATCCATATGTAGCACGTCCTCATATGTACTATGGTCCTCACCCATATGTAGTACGTCCTCATATGTACTATGGTCCTCATCCATATGTAGTACGTCCTTATATGTACTATGATCCTCATCCATATGTAGCACGTCCTCATATGTACTATGATCCTCATCCATATGTAGCACGTCCTCATATGTACTATGGTCCTCATCCATATGTAGCACGTCCTCATATGTACTATGATCCTCATCCATATGTAGCACGTCCTCATATGTACTATGGTCCTCACCCATATGTAGTACGTCCTCATATGTACTATGATCCTCACCCATATGTAGCACGTCCTCATATGTACTATGGTCCTCACCCATATGTAGTACGTCCTCATATGTACTATGATCCTCACCCATATGTAGCACGTCCTCATATGTACTATGGTCCTCATCCATATGTAGCACGTCCTCATATGTACTATGATCCTCACCCATATGTAGCACGTCCTCATATGTACTATGGTCCTCATCCATATGTAGCACGTCCTCATATGTACTATGATCCTCACCCATATGTAGCACGTCCTCATATGTACTATGGTCCTCACCCATATGTAGCACGTCCTCATATGTACTATGGTCCTCACCCATATGTAGCACGTCCTCATATGTACTATGGTCCTCACCCATATGTAGCACGTCCTCATATGTACTATGGTCGTCACCCATATGTAGCACGTCCTCATATGTACTATGATCCTCACCCATATGTAGCACGTCCTCATATGTACTATGGTCCTCACCCATATGTAGCACGTCCTCATATGTACTATGATCCTCACCCATATGTAGCACGTCCTCATATGTACTATGATCCTCACCCATATGTAGCACGTCCTCATATGTACTATGGTCGTCACCCATATGTAGCACGTCCTCATCCATATGAGGTACTACCGGATTATTTGCCAAGAAAAGATGATTATAATCCAGATCAAATTAAATCCGTATTGAGAAGACGTTACAAAAGCAATAGTGTGAGATTCCAGTCCATAAAGCCTCTGACGAGGGAGTCAACAAGACCATCAAGCGCTTCTCAGCGCCCCTCAGCTAAGTTTATGCTAAAAGCTAACAGTAATTGTATTGTTCCCTCACCCGCCTCAGGCACCCCTGGCATGGGGCCACCACCCCCCCTCTGGCACCACTGGCATGGGGCCACCACCCCCCTCTGGCACCACTGGCATGGGGCCACCACCCCCCTCTGGCACCACTGGCATGGGGCCACCACCCCCCTCTGGCACCCCTGGCATGGGGCCACCACCCCCCTCTGGCACCCCTGGCATGGGGCCACCACCCCCTTCTGGCACCCCTGGCATGGAGCCAACCACCCCCTCTGGCACCATGGCATGGGGCCACCACCCCCCTCTGCACCACTGGCATGGGCCACCACCCCCCTCTGGCACCACTGCATGGGGCCACCACCCCCCTCTGGCACCCCTGCATGGGCCACCACCCCCTTCTGGCACCCCTGGCATGGAGCCACCACCCCCTCTGGCACCACTGGCATGGGGCCACCACCCCCTTCTGGCACCCTTGGCATTGAGCCACCACCCCCCTCTGGCACCACTGGCATGGGGCCACCACCCCTCTCTGGCACCCCTGGCACGGGACCACCACTGGCATGGGGCCACCACCCCCCTCTGGCACCACTGGCACGGACCACCACTGGCATGGGGCCACCACCCCCCTCTGGCACCACTGGCATGGACCACCACTGGCATCGAACCACCACTGGCATGGGACCACCACTGGCATAGAACCACCACTGGCATGGGACCACCACTGGCAT